TCTATAAATTAATATGATATATTATTCTAGATTATTTTAGATTTATTTTGAAATTTTATTATTTTAAAATAAATAATTATTTTTATTTTAATTTGTATATTTTAATGTATAAGTATTTAATTTGTATATATTAATATATAAGTATTATGTATGTATTATATATGACATACATATATCATATATATGTAAATATGATATATTTACATATATATATATGTTATTTTAGATTTATTTTGAAATTTTATTATTTTTAAATAAATAATTACCTTAATTTTATTTTGTATATTTTAATATATAAGTATTTAATTTGTATATATTAATATGTAAGTATTATGTATGTATTATAGATGACATACATATATATGTAAATATGATATATTATTTTAGATTTATTTTGAAATTTAAAATAAAATTATTGTAGTTGTAACGGAAATATACCGCAACAAAAGAATAGGTGTTGACCATACCAAAAATATCATTTGTTACGGTAATATCTGGAATAAAAAATATTTTTTGTAGTAAGAAAATTGTAGCGACTAAGATTTCGCTTCACATAACCTTTTTCTTTGTAGTGATTGAAATAATAGTTAGAAGTATTAATTGGAAATATAATATTTCATGATACAAAAATTAGTCAATGGTTGCTTTCTTTTATAATTTTAAAAATAATTAGATTTATTTATTAAAAATTATAAAAGTATTTTAGGAATTGTTATATTATTTGAGTGAAGTAACTTTTATTATTTTTTAAAATATTTTATCCGTCTATCAAATTTATGCATATATATATTTGTCTAAAATAAATATATACTTTATATTTATATATAATATTTTTGCATTCTTTAATTTATACATTTCAATATTGATATTGTTCATTATTCTTCCTGAATGGTTTTTATTATTTTTATTTTTATGTTAAATATGAGAAATTGTCTTGGTAACATTGAAAAATCTATTTTATTGAATTCTTAATTTTTTATTAATGAATAATATATTATATTTTTTTAAATCATATTTATAAAAAATTGTTCCACCTAAAAACACTTACATTTTTTGGATGAATTTAAATAAAATTGATTTGAATTTGATATAAAAATAATATTTTATTAAATATTTTGAAAGAAAAAAATAAATATTTTTGAAAAAAAATTATAAATTCAAATAGTAAAATTTGAAGAATTTTGAAAAAAAAAATACATCCTAATATATAACACTTCATCCGTCCGCCTCTAAGGGTCATATTTACCTTTTATGTCATTGTACTTAACATTAAAAATATATTTATATTTTTATAATTTTTGTATAAATATCCTTCTATTAGTATTATAAGACACTAATTGAATACTTTTGTAATTTTTTTTAATTTATATTGTATTTTGATATTATAATTAATATTAAAAAATAACATGCAAAAAGTAAATAAGACCCTTAAAGCCGGACGGAGATAATATATATGTATTTTGTAATATATTATACGTATATTTGTTTTCTAATTATTTCAAGTTATTTTTATCAAAATGTATTGGTTGGATGTTAATAATATAGTGTAAGTATATGGGCACGTGTTGTTTACATAAAATGTTTTAGTTATTTTATCAATGTGTGCCGACTGAATGTTAATAATGTGATTATCTATATATATTTATTTACAAAAAATTATACAATTACGGGGATATTTTAAATTACAATGCCGTAAAAAATAAATGTGACCTTAGAGACGGAGTCATGGAGTATTATATATATATTTATACTTATTTACATTAATATCCCCATATTAAATTTGCATATCATATGAGTAAAATAATTTGTATTTACAAAAGTATTATTAACTATCATTGAATTAAAATACAAAATATTATCCAGTGCACACTTTTAAGTAGTTGGCTGCGAATTCCCACATTAAAAAAAATAAAAAAAATCCATTAAATTTCACATAGAAATTAGAAGTGCAAAAGAGAGAATATTATTTTAATTAAATAAATATTAAAGATAACAGTCATAAATAATTCCAATTATTTAGGGGTAATGAGCAACCGCCCCGAAAGTTATTTGTCACAATAATTAAATGAACAATAATGTGATGGAATGGAATGCGTGTAAAGCATGCCCATTTATTACACTTAATTATTTAATTAATTAATATATAAAATAATTTAAAAATTAATAAGTGGGCATGCAAAGAATGATATAAAACGAAATGAAATGCAACTTCCCAACAGGTATCTCCCAACCGTTTCCAATATTAAAAAATAGGGAAAAAATCAATTTTGGTCGTAATATAATCTAAATTAATTAATTTTAGTTCTAATATAAAAAATTCATCAATTTTGATCACAACATAACCAAAATTTATCAATTTTGGTCTCAATATAAACAATTTTAATCAATTTTGGTTCAATTATAAACAATTTTTATCAATTTTGGTCTACACGGCCATGTTGTTACATGGCCATGTATATTTCAATGTATAATTATACATGACCATGTTGTTACACGGCCATGTACAATTATACACGGCCATTTTGTTACATGACTATGTATATTTCAGTGTTGTTGATGTATTTTTTCAACAAAAATAAAGTAAAATTCAAAGATATTAAAAATATCCTTAAACTTGATTAATTAATGCCTGAGATTAGGAATCTCTAAACACTGTAACGTACAGAAAATAAACTGGAAAATAAAAGACTGAAATTTAAAGTGGTGATCCCCAAATCTGACTTTGCTTTGTTGAAGTTGATTGAAGATGCCTTGCCAAATGATGATCCAAATCCTTAAATATTCTTTGAAGAAAACGTTCAGAACCGTCGCACTGTTTCACCAACCGTTCCCACCCGTTACAGAACTCAGAACTGCCTCTTTCATTGACACATGTCTTTAACCGCCTCGCCAACAGCATAACCCACCGACTGACTCTGGATACCTTATTATTATTATTATTATTATTATTATTATTTTTTGTGCGTAACAACATGCCTCCTCCTCAAGACTCCTAAGCATCATTTCTTATGATGTTTTAGGAGTTAGTAGGTTAGCATCCGAGGCTACGTCAGCCTCAGATCCGACCTCCATCCTTTGAGGCTACGTTGGACCCGACCTCCATTTATCGCGGACTGGTGCTGGCCTGGACGTTGGTCGATCTTGCACTACCATTGTATTCAGACTCCCGTCCGACTTATTCCTCCTTTCGGCCACTGTTGTTCTGTCATTCTTTTGCTCGTCTGAAAAGTTATGGTCGGCGACCTGACCCGTGTCCGTCCATTCGGCGGGGTCCTCCTGACCTGTATTCGTCCATTCGGCGGGGTCCTCCTGACCTGTATCCGTCCAGGTTACGTAGTCCTCCCGATTTTTGTCCGTCCAGTCGACGTGGTCTTCCCGATCTGTATTCGTCCAGTCGGCGTGGTCCTCCCGACCTTTGTCCATCCAGTCGGTGTGGTGGTCCCGACTACGGTCCGTCCATTCGGTGTGGTCCTCCCGACCATGGTCCGTCCAGTCGGTGTGGTCTTCCCGACCATGGTCCGTCCAGGCGTCGTGATCCTGCCGACTTGTCTCCGTCCATTCGGTCGTCCCTGGTCGGACCTGTCCTCCTGTTTGGTCCTGTCTCCAGTCTGTCTGACTGGGTATATGCTCAGGAATGGCGTTGTCCGTTTGGGGGCATGACATTTCTGGCGGTGCAGGAACCGAATTCAACAAGTGTATAATTATACATGACCATATTGTTACACGGTCATGTATAATTCTACACGGCCGTGTATCTTTCTGTTTCGGTCTAAAATTTTAATTTTTTGTTATATTTTTAATTTTTTTAAAAAATTTAGATAGTTGATATAATTAAAATGAAAAAAATAATAATAATCATAATATAATTAAAATATATCAATTTTAGTTCAAATATAAGTATTTATCGAGTATGTTCTTTTGGAAGATTTTGTCTAAAATTCTACTACAAAAAAATTTCTCTTACAAACATCCAATTAATGTATTGAAATTTTTGCTAAATAGTATAATTTTAGACAAAATCTTCCAAAAGAACATACTCGATAAATACTTATATTTGAACTAAAATTGATATATTTTAATTATATTATGATTATTTTTTTTTCCATATTAACTATATCAACTATTCTAAATTCAAAAAAAAAATTAAAAATATAACAAAAAATTAAAATTTTAGACCGAAACAGAAAGATACACGGCCGTGTATAATATATGGCCGTGTAACAACATGACCATGTATAATTATACACTGAAATATACATGGCCCTATAGCAACAAGGCCGTGTATAATTGTACATGGCCGTGTAACAACATGGCCATGTATAATTATACACTGAAATATACATGACCATGTAACAATACGGCCGTGTATAATTGTATATGGCCGTGTACTTTACAGGTCAACTGCCACGTCACCTCCGTCGTGTCCACGTTAGCAATTTCCGTTAGTTTTTTAACAGTAGGACCAAAATTAATAAAAATTGTTTATAATGGGACCAAAATTGATTGAAATTGTTTATATTGGGACCAAAATTGATAAATTTTGATTATATTGGGACTAAAATTGATGAATTTTTTATATTAGAACCAAAATTGATTAATTTTGATTATATTAAAACCAAAATTGATTTTTTCCCTAAAAAATATAATATATCACATAATATATATTTTATTTATTAATAAAAAATTAATAATTCAATATAAAATATTATTTAAAATATATCTATCCAAAAACAAATGAACAAACCGTTATGCTATTAGGTAATCCATAATTAAGATCAATTAGGTCAGAGTTGTACATGCCAAATCATTATAATAACATTAATATTAGATTTTATTATTTTTAAAATAAAATAATTATTGAAAGTAATATTTTTTTTAAAAAATAAAGAATTAAAAGATATATGATTAAATTGAACAAAATTTACATATGGTTAAATGAGAAATAAATATTTGCAATTTAGCTAAGGTATATATATATATTCAAATATTGGGAGATTGAAGTACAAATATTGGTGATTTACTGGTCCTCTAACATTTTTAAACCAAAACCCTAAAACCAAAAACCCCCGGATTCTCTCCCTTCTCTCTACGATTAGAGAGAGAAGGTCTCCCCTGCCGCCGCCAGCCCCGTTCCGGCGGAACCAGACGCCGGACGGTTATTCTGCCACCGCCACGCGACTCGCCACCCCCGAAAACCCCCCCTAACCTAAGCCCCGTCGCCGATAACCATCCACAGCCGCCGTCCGCGTTTGAGCCAGAAGCGCCGCCTCCAGCGAACTCGCCGTTCCCGGCGTTTTCCGGCCGGCGCTCCACCCCCACCGCCCTCGCCACCCCCGAAAACCCCCCCGTACCCCAAGCCCCGTCGCCGGATTCCGCCTCCAGCCGCCGGTCGCGTTCGAGCCAGACGCGTCGCCTCCGGCGAACTCGCCGTTCCCGGCGTTTTCCGGCCGGCGCTCACCCTCCACCGTCCTCGCCTTCCCCGAAAACCCCCCTACCCCAAACCTCGTCGCCGGATTCCGCCCCAGCCACTGTTCGCGTTCGAGCTCGAAGAATCGACGGGTTCGAACAGTAGCCGACCCTTAGCCCCCGCCCGCTCCTTTGCGCCCAAGGCGTCCTCTGCCTAGGCGCTCCCCACCGCTGTGTCGGCTGTCCTCCAGTTCCCCCGTAGCCGCCCAGCCGCCACCCGCCTCAGGCGCCCTCTGCCTTGGCGGTGCCTTCAGCCGACTGGTCGCTCTCACCCTTCCCGGGCGCGCTTCTTCAACCGACTGGCCGCCCGCCGTCATCAACCGACCCCGCGCTTCCTCCTGGTGATTGCGTCCCGGTCATCGACGCCTCGGCGTTCTCTGGAAGTCTCCTCCTCCCCGAGTCTGGCTCTCTCTGCTTCAGTGCTTTGCTTCGCCTGAAGTTGGTGTTCGTTCTCGGCCTGTTGCGGGTCTTCTGTTCGTGTCTTCCTTCTCTGGAGTATAGGTCGGCTTCTCAGTGCTGCCTTCAGGTATTTTTCTTGTCCTCCTCGCTGGCGCTTGAATCCTTATCCCCTTTCCCTGGTCGCGCCCTAGGTCGGAGTCCCCGCCCCTCTCCCCTTAGGTGTATGCTTTGTTCCTTCTTGCGGTGGAGGACTCCTGGTGATGGAGTTAATTAATTATCTTGTTGATTCGGTTGGTTGTGTCCCCCTCTCAAATCTCTGGGAGCGTTCTGGTTCAATGACCCCGTCAAGTGCCCCTCCCCCTACCTCCTATGCCGAAGCAGTAGCTCCCAATGACTGTTCACCAAGTGTTCGGAAAAATGCCCCAAAGGAATTCTCTTTTCTCGTTGATCCAAAACCAAAGAGAATCGGTATTATTGAGGAAATTGAGGGTGATATGTCTGTTTTGTTTGAAGATTGAGGTGATCGACAACCTATCAGAAGCCTTTAGATATACTTTTGTGGGTAAATTCTCCCATGGGTTCTCCTCCTGGATTGATCTCAGCAATGCTTTCGATTCCCTCAAGTTGTCCGGAAAATTCAGCATCCATGAGGTTGAACTTTAAACGCATTTTGATTCGGCTGTCTAATGAACAAGATTTCACTCGAATTTGGTTAAAAGGCATATGGTTCTTTAAGGGCTTTCCGATGAGAGTCTTAAAATGGTCTCCAGATTTCTCACCAAATATTGAGCCTCTTCTTGTTCCAGTTTGGATTTCCCTTCCTTTGCTCCCAGTGCAGTTGTATCATCGAGATGCTTTTTACACGATTGCTCTTTCCATTGGAACTCCTCTTAAGGTGGACGCTCCCACAGCTTCTCTTGGCAGGGTGTCAAATGCAAGAGTTTGCATCGAAGTTGATATATCCAAGCCATCTAAGGAGTCTCTTAAGCTAGAATTTAAGGGCAAGGCTCTTTCTCAGAAAGTTGTTTATGAGAACTTCCCGGAGTATTGTAACCATTGCAATCACATTGGCCACACTGAGAACTCTTGCATAGGTCTTGGCAAGACACAATCTTCAGGTCAAGAGAATTTGAATGGCTTGATGAAGGATTCTAGGACTCAGAAACATGGAGGAGTGTCCTTTAATAATCAACTACGACCCCTTTAAGAATAAAGGGAAACAGATTGCTCATGGTGTTGATCTCAAAGGCTTCCTTAATACTAAAAGGAGAAATGAGACCTTAATCATAGCTCCAATCCCCGTCATGTGAGAGATCTTTCCTCTTCGAGCTTTCCTTATTGGATTAAAGCTGAAGGAACCTCAAACTCGTTTGCTCCTCTTGCTGAAGTTGATACACCGGATTATGAAGGGCGTAAGCGAAAAAAGGCTGATGATGATGGTGGAGAACATCCTGATGTACCTCAAGAACCCGAGGACAGTCCTCTTGTCTAATCCAGAGGTGTTGCCCTTGATCACATGAATGATTCTCCCTTGCTTCATGGAAATTTAGGCTGTGCAGGTAATGGCGTGGGGGAGATGGACGAAGCTGGCAACAACTCTGAAGAAGATTCTGGAAATGAAACAAACTCGTCTGGTACTGACACTGAGGAAAACTCTGTTAGAGTTGCTGGAATGAACTGTGAGGAATCCCCTTCGGGTGCTAAGAACTATTCTCTGGGCAATATCATATGTGCTAGTGTTGGGGAACATAACTCCACTATGGAAGGAACTGGAATGGCTAACGGCTGTAAGGTCAGGAATAAGGGGAAACAAACTAGAATTGTCAATGTATGTCAGGAGCTGGTCGAGAACAGTGCTGATGATGGGTCAGACGAAGAACAATTTGGATTGGTTTCTGGTAAAAGTTTGGATAGCTCCTTTGGGGATACTCCTCACCTGGACTTCTCGACCAATGATAGATTAGAGGATGTTGAGGGAGTTGATGAGGATTCCCAGTATGATAATGACGGTGACTACACTCCTTTTATCAAAGAGGTGAGCATGGAGCTGGAAAACCCATTATACTTGCACCTTAATGTCACACAGAGACAACCAAACCCCTTGGGAATTAATTTGGTCAATAATAAGAGTTTGGAAGATATCATCCTACAAGACAACACACTTGACCATAAATATCTCTCAGATGGCCTCGATCAAGAAAGATTCCAGGATCCTCGACAATATGTTTCGTATGGAGATATTATGGAGAATCGCAGCCACACGAGGCATCCAAAGGTGTGCATAAATAAAAATCTGGAAGGTTACATCAGTCCACAAACTGATGGGCGTCGGCAGCAGTATAAGGACAGAATACAGGCCCCTAACTGTGTCCTCAACACTGAGATGAAGGTCCTTCCCAGCAGTTCGCAGGAAAGGGATGAACCGACTAAGGTTTCGTCAGAAGCAGTCGAATTTCACAGAGACAATCCTCTGAATGAGGAGACCCCTCTTTCCTTGAGGCCATTTACAAGGAGTTTTGCTAGGAAGATGAATTTGCTTGCAGCTGCCAATCTGAAGTTGGATTTATCACCCCAACATAATTTCCCTTAATAGATTTTCAGATTTTTTTTTGGAATGTCCGTGGCATTGGTAATAAACTCACCCAAAAACATCTGCATCATATTTGCAAGAGAGAGAAAGTTCAAATCCTTATCATCGCCGAGCCGATGGTAGTTGCCCAGTCGTCCTATTTTTGTCGTAGACTGGGTTTCTCGAATATGTGGAACAATTGCTCTAACAAAATTTGGATCTTTTCTACAGTTGATTTCCAGAGTAATGTTTTGCAGGATCATGATCAGCTTCTCTCCATTTGAGAATCACCTCCCCTCACTCTGCTAAACCTTTCCTCCTTTCTGGTATTTATGCTAAGTGCAGTTGTCTACAAAGAAAAGATCTTTGGAAGACAATCAGAGACATTGCTAATATTGCTTCTGACATTCCTTGGATCTTAAGTGGAGACTTTAATGCTATTGCTGATATTTTTGAACGGGATGGTCCGGGGAGGCCAGAATTACGATCTATTAGAGACTTTAATGATATGATTTTGGACGCCAACCTTCTTGACGCTGGTTTCACAGGAGCTCTGTTCACTTGGACAAATCATCGTGTTTGGGAAAGGTTGGATAGAACCTTCTATAACTCTGCATGGTTGGATGCTACCGCCCTCACGAAGGTTCTTCACTTCCCAAGGGGACCCTCAGATCACGCTATTCTTCTCATATCGATCAATCACAATAATTTCCTCAACCGTTCTACCTTCAGGTTTCAAAACATGTGGGTTAAGCATCACCTCTTCTTGGAGACTGTCAAATCTAACTGGGAAATTCCGACTGGTCATCAGGGTCAGCTTAGGGTGTGTTTGTTTGGAGGTTTGGATTTTGAGTTGGGATTTGAGTAGTAAAAATTTTGAATTTGAATAGTTGTATGATGTGATGTAAATAGGTGTTGATGTGATGTTTTAAATGTAAAATTAATTTTTAGTATAATATAAAAAATGAAAAATTGGTGTTTGATATGATATTTTTTGGGGGAAAAAATGGGATGAATAGTAAAATTAAAATCCAATCCTCCAAACAAACACACCCTTAATCTTCACCTTAAACTGTTGAGACTGAAGCATCAGCTTAAATGGTGGAACAAGAATGTGTTTGGCAATGTTTTTGTTATCCTTGATCAAGCTGAATGTAAGGTGAAGCTTAGTGAAACAGAATATAACAGAGACCCCTCCCAAGCTAACCTGCAAGAGAAAAATAGATGTCTGGCTGAGCTTACTAGAGCTATAAGTATGGAGGAGGCCTTTTGGAAACAAAAAGCAGCATGTATATGGTTGGTGGACGGGGAGAAAAACTCAAAATTCTTCCATGCCATGGTGAAAAGAAAACGAACCAAATCCCACATCCTTGAGATTAAGGATGGTGAACAAACCCTCTCTACCCAATCTGAAATCTCAGCTTCGGCTATAAGATACTTCAGCTCCCTCCTCACTAAACAACAACACAGCATTGATAACAAGCTTCCTACTTTGCAGGAAATCCATGATGTTATTTTTTCAATGAATGGTGATAGTGCTGCTGGGCCCGATGGTTTCTCCGCCCTTTTCTACCAACACAGCTGGGATATTGTTAAGGAGGATGTGTATAAAGCGGTGACTGAATTCTTTGAAGGCACCCCTATGCCAAGAAGTTTTAAAGCTACCACCATTGTGCTTATTCCAAAAGTCGAGAACCCTGGGTCTTGGAGTGAGTTCAGGCCTATCAGCCTTTGCAACGTCTCCAACAAGATTATATCCAAGCTGCTCAACCTTCGGATTTCCAGAATCCTTCCTAGAATTATCTCCCCCCACCAGAGTGGTTTTGTTAAGGGAAGATCGATATATGAAAACATTCTTCTGGCCACAAAAATGATTCATGATTTAAGAATAGGTCGGATGAGAGAGATGATCGGGACGAGTTTGAGGATGAGATGGGTCAGGATGAATTAAAAAGAGATCAGTCGAATATTGTATGAGAGTTTCTTATACGTAGAAGTGGGAATTGCTACGATCCTAGATTAGAATTTGGGCGATGATAGGGTCAGATGGATAAAGATAAGAAGAATTATGGGTCAATCTGGCGAGGGCATAACCAATAGATTTGTATGGATTTGGATCAATAAGGAGTCGGCCAAAGAATGCAGAGGAAAAGTACAGACGGAGCCACAGTTCTAGGAACCAGAATGGTCCCGAAGCTACAGTGTCTGCTTTTTTGGTATATGTTAGACGAGTACTTACTCGAGTTAAACCTTAAAAAAGGGTAGCTAAAAACAGGGTTCCCAATGAGAAAAAATGGCCGCAGGCCAGTTGAATGGCCAGATCAACTTGAGTAGAAAGAACGAGTTTAGAAGGAGAGAGAATGATGTACCTGTAAATAAAAGAAAAGAATTCTACCTGAATATTCAACATCGAGAATACGAAAGAAATTACAAGGGAAAAGACATACCTGCAAAGCCGGAAAAGGAGGAAGGCCGTGTGTTCTAGTTCAGAAATAGGGGTGCTTTCCTTACCCTGGTACCAACTCCTTTCTTTCTTAGGTAGCTTGGCCAAGGCCCAGCCCGCGTGGTTGGTTGACGGTTCTCGACCCCTGAAAGAAACTAGAATAGGATCGTCGCCTACTATAGGTAAGTGCGCGATAACAGCCACGTCCATCAAAGTTGGCCCGATAGGACCCGCAGGAAGGAGGAAAGCACCCATTTGAGAATGCCAAAAGGCCGCCATTGCCAATAGGGCCTTGTAGTGGAGATAGAGAGGTTGCGTTGAGAGGAGGATAGCTTTATCAATTCCCTGGTTTTTCCACTGATCTTCGAAGTGGGGGAGAAGCCTCGCATACCATGTACGATAGGCGTTCTTTGGATCGGTGAGGTGAGTTTTAATATTGCCCAGAAGGCGTTCTGGCTTGAACGCAGGATTGTTGACAATGATTGGGGAGACTTGGGGGCAATAACAGATCTCATACGTTCGGCATCTGCGGTGGTTGTGCAATAAGGGCGTATGGTAGGGGTAAAAATTTTCGAAACCACGGAGGGTACTGAGGGATTGGCCCCGTTGAAAGGTAAAGCGGGAACATATTGGTTAGCCATTGTAAGCAGAGGTGAAGAAGACAAAGAGGAAATGTTTCAGAGGAGGCAGTTAGGAGAAGATACAGGGAAGGATTTTCAGAATGCGTGAATGTGAAGATGATGGAAGGGTTTTACATAAACCCCTTTGATTTGACACGGCTCAGTGTGATGATTACACTTTGTAAACCCCTAAATGTCACGTTTCCCGAAGTTCAAGGGGTGACGTTTCGGCGTTAGGCGGGAGGAGGCAAGTTGTTGAGCATAAAAAAAAATGGTAGATAGGGTTTTGAGAATGGGCCTACCAAATTAGGTTAAGATTTATTCAAAGTTTAATGGGCTTTTGTAAGTCCAAATATAGTTGCAATGATCAGGTGGTCAGGTCGGGCACTGAGGTCGGACCTGATCGGGACTAATCCCAAAGGTCGGGCGTAAGAAGGTCGGGCATTGAAGTCGGACCTGGTCGGGATCTAATAAGGTCGGGCATTGAAGTCGGACCTGGTCGGGGCAAATCCCAAAGGTCGGATGTAAGAAGGTCGGGCACTGAAGTCGGATCTAGTCGGGTCAATCTCAAAGGTTAGGTGTAATAAGGTCGGGCATTAAAGTCGGACTTAATTGGATCAATTCCAAAGGTCGGGCGTAACAAGGTCGGACGCAAAATTAAGACAGTATGAGGTCGGGATTGAAGGTCGGGTGCGATGAAGACGGGCGATAAGGTCTGGTACGGAGACGAGGCAGGATAAGGTCGGGCGTGAAAGGGTCGGGTACTAAGATTGAACATGACCAGGTCGGGCGAGGAAGTAATAGATGTGCAGGTCAGTTGAAAAGAGCAGTTTTTAGACAGTAAAAGGAAGTTTCAACTGGTGAGCGATTTTGAAGGCACGATTTGGTGGGTCGGTTAACACACGTGTCAACGTCAGAGAATTTTCTAGGCGGTTGACAGCAGTTATTATAACCGACCAGACAACGGTTCGAACCGTTTCTCTAAGGGGTTATTTAAAGATCCGGAACCGACCAGACAACAGTTCGAACCATTTCTCTAAGGGGTTATTTAAAGATCCGGTGTTCGGAAACGGTATCTTCAATCGACAAAAATTCAAGATAATTGCTTTTGGGATCACCACTTTAATGAAATTAAATACTATTTATGTTCGGGTCTAAGGGTTTCATTTATTTTTGGGGTGTTGAACTTTGAATAGTAATTATTATATCAAAACGTAGTACAAATTAAGAAAAAATTACAAAAATACTTCTATTAATGTCTTATAATAGTAATAGAAGGACATTTGTACAAACAATTATACAAATATAAGGATATTTTTAATGTTAAATACAATGACAAAAAAGGTAAATGTGACCCTTAGAAGCGGACGGAAAAGAGTATCATATTTAAATAATATCCGAGCTTTGCGTAGATGCAATTTTCTTGAAGCGAATTCGACCCCCCACCGATCGCCTTCGAAAATAGAATGAATTAACGAAATAACGGATTTTGCTAATCGAATTAGGGGTATAAATTTTTTAGAGGAAATTTTTTGGAGTAAAAAAAGTTTTTGAGAAAGTGAAATTGTATATATATATCAGAAGAAAAAAAAATAGTTAATTTATTTTGAAAGATTGTTTGTGAAGTTTTAAAATTACACGTTGCAATTCAATTGCAATAAAATGCAAAATTGAATTTTTTTATTATAATTGGGCTTAATCCATAAGCCCCACGGCCCATGGGCCATCTTGACGATATTAATTTATAGTATTGCAGTTGGTTGTGGCTCCGTTCATATTGGCAAGATTTGGAGAATCCATTTCCATTTGGAATATGGCCAAGCTAGGTTTGCTGTGATTCGTTAAGGTAATGTTTTCATTTGTTACATAAAAATGCGACACATGTTACATAAGGAGCGCTTTCAGGGCGGTTACTAGGTCCACTCATTTCTGTTCAGTTCGGGCCATTCTTCTTTGATGGACAACACTTTGGTGCTCCTGCATCAGCCTTGATCGAGTACTGGCTTGGAGTTGGTCATGGAGGCTGGCGCAAGTCTAGCGCTGATCCTCCACCAGGCGACTTTCCTCCTGAATGCAGCTGTCTAATGACTCCAGCTCTTTCTGAAGGTTCTCGAGTTCCTTCATTTTCTGAGAGATTTCGGTGGCCAAATGATGGCGCGCTTGCTGGAGTTCACTCAACCTATTAGAACCTTCATTGAGTATCGCTGACAGGGATGCCTCAATGGTTGCAGTGTCAGGGATGGGCTGTCACGGTGCAAAGTCGGATGTTGGGGTCGAATAAAAGGTAGGTCGGTTTGAAGTTCAATGATCCTCTCCATCATCCGACTGAGGATTGGTGCCACGACAGACTCAGCAGGAGTCTGCACCAATAAATCCATGACACCTGAACTAGAGAGTTTAGATCTGCAGCTTAGGTCGGCCAATGAAACATCGGCGCGGCGCATTACTATTGGTAGGGCAGATCCCAGTAATGGCACTTTGCTGAGGAAAGTAAGGTCACGAGTTGTCTGTTTAAGTACGTTAGAGTGATTAAAGATTCGTAAGTAAAAATAATCTAATGCAGTAATATGGAGGTTACCTGGTGGAGGACGGCCGTAGCTTCGGAAGGATTTAGCATAACCGGAGTTAGTGGGGAACGGCCAGATGGGATCCTCGTCCGAGCAACCGATTTGGCGGTTGCGGACTGAGGACCTATGAAGCTTGGCTCAGAACCCTGAAAATGTAAGACGTCAAGTCAAAGAGAGTTGGGATTAGCATACGGGTATGAAGACAAGGAAAAATCCTATCCACGACTTCGTTGTTCTGATTAACAGATGGGTCGCCCGACTCTGAAGAAGAGACGTCGACTGGTTCAAAGTGTTGGACTGGTTCAGGGTTTGCTTGGACTGATGCAAGGACCAGCGGATCTGGTTCTGCGGTCGGTTGAACCAGATCAGGGACAACCGGCGGTTGGTGTTCAGTGATCGTTGGTTCGACCACCGGGTCGGCTGCCACAAGCCCTTGAGATAAGGAATATAAGTTTGACTCTAGATAGGAAACATAATTTCACAACTTGCTATATACTCACCGGGAGCACGGCTGGCTGAGGAGGGGTAGAAGTCGATGAGAAAATCTGCCTCACCATCGGGTCCTTTTCCTGACGAATCATTGGCGGTCCTGCCGATGGAATGATGGACCTTTGGCCGACCGGGATGTCCGGTCGGGAAGGGATGGAGGTTGATGAAGAAATCTGCCTCAACGTCGGATCCTTCTCCAGACGCATCACGAACAGCTCTATCGGTGTAGCGGCCGATTGTTGGCCAGTCGGGGCAACATGCGGTGAAGAAGAAGTCTGCGCCCAGGTAAAGAGGTTAAGTTAGAAACCATAATTATGATAAATGAAAGACTTTGGGGGGATTACCTCGGGGACGTTTGGCGAATCGGCTGGCAAAGCAGCTGGTTGTGCTGATGGCAAGGTAGTTGGTCGGGTGCTTAGTTGATCGGTAAGCTTGGCGCCTGGTGGATCAACCAACTGGTCGGTTGGATGATCGGCAGGCTGGTCAACTGGTTTCTCAGCAAGCGACACTGAGGAAAAAACTTGTCAAGAATATATTGAAGGAAAAACAGAGTTAAGGTTATGGTTTATCCTTACCTAAGTGTCGGCGCACATTGCCAGGCAACCAGATGGGGTCCACAGGTAGGGACACCAAATAATCCTCTACCGCCTGCCGATCATATACCGGTCTTGTTGTGGCCTTTGGTCGGACGGCTGTTTTCCTCTTTGGAGCGCTGGGGCCTTCGTCGGGAGCCGCCCATTTGCTCCTGAGGACCGTGGCGAGAGTTGGCGAGCCCAAAGCAAGGGTTGGAGGAGGGGTTAATTTCGCCAGCAATTGGTCAGTAGGAGGGGCCACCACCGCCCAAGTATCCGACCACCAAGAGGGAAAGGTTTCCACCGCCTTGGGGTCACGGCGGAAGGGAAGGTAGGAGTTGGAGGTGATGTAAGAAATCAGTTGGGAAAGATAAGGTGAAATCAAAGAAGGGATCACTCGCCCGTCGGGGCTCTGAGTTATTAGGTGTGGTCGGGCGAGTGGACCTGGTAAACCTTGACAGCAGCCGAACTGTCGAGACAAAAATTGCGGCTGGTAGTTGAAAGTATAAAAAGACTTACGGTTTCTCTTGTCAAACCTGGGACTAGAAAAAAGAGACCGTGGTTTAAGGGCTGAGTCCCAAGAATGTGGATAGGTCGGGTGAGGCAAAGGGTCTGGATAAGAAAAGGGGTAATTGGTTTCCGAATAAGGCCAAAAAAGTTCAGTAAGATACTGAACGTAAGTCTCATGGACAAAATATTTTGAGTTATTGCGGTCGCCTGAGAGAATAGCAGCAATTACATGGTCAAAAGGGTGAAGACTCGAAGAGTTTGGGGTTAGCTGAGCAAGGGCCAACCCAAGAGATTTACGGGCATTCGGGGTTATGGGCAGCCGACCAGAAAATGCGTTCGGAAAGTAAAATCAGCCAAAGCTCAAAAAACCAAAAAGGGCCAGAGGCAGCTGTGTCCGCCCTCTTGGTGTCTACAAGGCGGTCGCTGACTCTGGATAAGTCCTCATACAAGTTGGCCAAAAAGAGTGTCCCTAAAGAAAAGAAGCGACCACTGGCTAAGTGGATGGCTAAGTCTACTTACGAGGTCAAAATTGATTTGGAGGGGGAAAGAATTATATATCTGAAGAAAGGGGTACAAAAGATGATTCAAAATACAAAAAAATATACAAAATGGATTAGATGGAGGAAATAATATACCTGCATAGCCAAAACAGCAGAAAGACGGTGTGCTCCAAGGCAGTTACTGGAGAACCCTCTGTACCCTGGAAGCGAAGGACAAAGTTGGTCCAGCCGCATTCCTTCTCAGGTGTGCGAGCAAGTGACCAGCCTTCATGGTCGGACGCTAGTTCTTGCCCATCCAACGACCGAAAGATAGGGTCGTCACCAACCATGGGGAGGTGGGCAATCATAGCCACATCCATCAGGGTTGGGCCAATGGGGCCAGTTGGGAGAAGGAAAAGGCCAAGTTGGGCATTCCAAAAGGCCGCCATAGCTAAAAGGACTTTGTCGTGAAGGTACAACGGTTGAGTGGCGAGGAAAATGGCCTTATCAATCCCTTGTCGTCGTCATTGTTCATAAAAAACAGGACATAGCCTCGAATACCAGGAACGTAAGGCATCTTTGGGATCGGTAAGATGTGTTCTGATATGATCATTAATGCGTTCAGGTTTGAAATCAGGGTTGATAATAGCTAAGGGGGTTACAGAAGAGATGATACTCTTCATTCGAAAAGCATCCTCAGAAGAGGTACAATAGGGACGAAGAGTGGGAGTAAGAACAGCAGAAGAAACAAAAGGGATTTCTGGATTGGAACTATCCAAAGATAGAGCTGGGACGTACTGGTTAGCCATGGTTGAAAGGAGCAAAGCGCGAAAGGGAGTAGAGAAAGTATTGGTTCGCAAAAGGAGGAAAGTAATTAAAAAGCGTAAGGAAGAAGATGAAGACGAAGGGGTTTTAAGTAGGGTTTTTCTGCAAAAATCCCTGATTAGACAGCGTAATGATGAACAAACTGCCTGATCACATCACATCTCACATTGATCGAGAAGTGACAGCATAATATTTAATTGTTAAATATTTTGGAATTTTTTTGGGCTTCTGGTTGGAATCTAACGAGTGGGGCCTACAAATGAAACCTACAAGAGGAACGTGGGCTTTTAGGGGGCCCATTTAAGAGAAACGCCTGTTATTCGGTTGGTAGGTTAATTGACCTGTCAATAAACTTGATTCATTTGTCGCCCGCCCAATCAAGCGATCACCGTACGGTTCCTTCAAATGGCTGAACAACCATTCGTTTAGAGGACTCATACGTCGCCCCAGTCAGGTGACTGACCTACTGTTCACTTAAATCGGCGCCCATTTCACAGACCTTTCTTCGCCCCACTTCCGTCTCGGCCGTCTCATCCTTCTTCGCCCGAACTCCTCTTTCAACCGACCTCCGTGAAGACCTTGCCACCATTATCATTATTATTAATTTTTTTACTCAACAATTATATTTCTTTCTCTCCTATTTCTATCCCAACCGACTACCTACGGGACGGTTCTCCTCTTTGTCATCCGATCAATTCAGTATATTTATGGTGTTGTAGAGAATAATTTTTTTATAAATTAGGAAAAAATTATCCAAAAAAATATATATTTTTTAAAATTGATTTTTTGCACAGATATAAAAATATCTATTTATATAATTGATTATATTTCTTTTTCACCTCTTTCTATTCCAACCGACTTGACGGTCCTCCTCCTGCTCATCTGACCAATTCAATCCCAGCCAACTAACACGGTTCTCTTCTTTTTCATCCGATCTGCCACGTTATCTCCTCTTTCCATCCGACCGAGTTGGTACTTTATCTCCTCTTTCCATCCGTCTAGTAGTCGGCTGCCCATAACCCCGAACGCCCGTAGATCTCTTGGGTTGGCCCTTGTTCATCTAACCCCAAACTCTTCCGGTCTTCACCCTTCTGACCGTGTAATTACGGTTATTCTCTCAGGCGACCGCAGTAACTCAAATTTTTGTCTATGAGACTTACGTTCACTTATTCGGAAACCAATTACCCCCTTTCTTATCCAGACCTTTTGCCTCACCCGACCTATCCTCATTCCTGGGACTCAGCCCTTAAACCACGGTATTTTTTTTTCTAGTCCCAAGTTTGACAAGAGAAACCGTAAGTCTTTTTATACTTTCAACTATCAGCCGCAATTTTTGTCTCAACAGTTCGGCTGCTGTCAAGGTTTCCCAGGTCCACTCGCCCGACCACACCTAATAACTCAGAGCCCCGATGGGCGAGTGATCCCTTCTTTGATTTCACCTTTCTTTGATTTCACTTTATCTTTCCTAACTGATTTCCTACATCACCTCCAACTCCTACCTTCCCTTCCGCCGTGACCCCAAGGCGGTGGAAACCTTCCTCTTTTGGTGGTTGGATACTTTGGCGGTGGTGTCCTCTTCTACTGACCAATTGTTGGCAAAATTAACCCCTCCTCCAGCCCTTGCTTTGGGCTCGCCAACTCTCGCCACGGTCCTCAGGAGCAAATGGGCGGCTCCCGCCGAAGGCCCCAGCGCTCCAAAGAGGAAAACAGCCGCCCGACCAAAGGCTACAACAAGACCGGTATATGATCGTCAGACGGTAGAGGATTATTTGGTGTCCCTACCTGTGGACCCCATTTGGTTGCCTGCTAATGGGCGCCGACACTTGGGTAAGGATAAGCCATAACCTTAACTCTGTTTTTCCTTCAATATATTCTTGACAAGTTTTTTCCTCACCGTCGTTTGCTAAGAAACCAGTCGACCAGCCTGCCGATCATCCAACCGACCAGTCGGTTAATCCACCAGGCGTCTAGCTTACCGATCAACCAAGCACCCGACCAATTACCTTGCCATCAGCGCAACCAGCTGCTTTGCCAGCCGATTCGCCAATCGTCCCCGAGGTAATCCCCCCAAAGTCTTCCATTTTTCATAATTATGGTTTCTAACTTTACCTCTTTACCTGGGCGCAGACTACTACTTCACCGCATGTTGCCCCGACCGGCCAATAATCGGCCGTTACACCGATAGAGCTGCCCGTGATGCATCTGGAGAAGGACCCGACATTGAGGTAGATTTCTTCATCAACCTCCACCTCTTCCCGACTGGACGTCCCGGTCGGCCAAAGGTCCGCCATTCCTTGGCAGGACCGTCAGTGATTCGTCGGGAGGAGGACCCGACGGTGAGGCAGATATCCTCATCGACTTTTACCCCTCCTCAACCAGCCGTGCTCCCGGTGAGTATATAGCAAGTTGTGAAATTATGTTTCCTATCTAGAGTCTAACTTATATCCCTTATCTCAGGGGCTTGCGGCAGCCGACCTGGTGGTCGAACCAACGATCACTAAACACCAACCGCAGGTGGTCCCTGATCTGGTTCAACCGACCGCAGAACCAGATCCGCTTGCCCTTGCATCAGTCCAAGCAGACCCTCAACCAGTCCAAGCAGACCGTGAACCAATCCAACACTTTGAACCAGTCGACGTCTCTTCTTCAGAGTCGGGCGACCCATTTGTTAATCAGAACAGCGAAGCTGTGGTTAGTATTTTTCCTTGTCTTCATCCCCGTATGCTAATCCCAACTCTCTTTGACTTGACGTCTTACATTTCAGGGTTTTGAGCCAGGCTTCATAGGTCCTCAGTCCGCAGCCGCCGAATCGGTTGCTTGGACGAGGATCCCATCTGGCCGTCCCCCACTAACTCCGGTTCTGCTAAGTCCTTCCGAAGCTACGGCCGTCCTCCACCAGGTAACCTCCATATTACTGCATTAGATTATTTTTACTTACGAATCTTTAATCACTCTAACGTAATTAAACAGGCAATTCGTGAGCTTACTTTCCTCAGCAAAGTGCCATTACTGGGATCTGCCCGACCAGTAGTAATGCGCTGCGCCAATCTTTCATTGGCCGACCTGAGCTCTGCAGATCTAAACTCTCTAGTTCAGTTGGTCATGGATTTATTGGTGCAGACTCCTATTGAGTCTGTCGTGGCACCAATCCTCAGTCGGATGATGGAGAGGATCATTGAACTTCAAACCGACCTACCTTTGATTCGACCCTCAACATCCGACTCTGCACCGTCTCAGCCCATCCCTGACACTGCAACCATTGAGGCGTCCTGTCAAAGGCGGCAGCGATACTCAATAAAGGTTCTAATAGGTTAAGTGAACTCCAGCAAGCGCGCCATCATTTGGCCATCGAAATCTCTCAGAAAATGAAGGAATTCGAGAACCTTCAGAAAGAGCTGGAGTTATTAGACGACTGCATTCAGGAGGAAAGTCGCCTGGTGGAGGATCAGCGCCAGACTTGCGCCAGCCTCCATGACCAACTCCAAGCCAGTACTCGGTCAAGGCTGATGCAGGAGCACCAAAGTGCTGTCCATCAAAGAAGAATGGCCCGAACTGAACAGAAATGGGTGGACCTAGTAACCGCCCTGAAAGCGCTCCTTATGTAACATGTGTCGCATTTTTATGTAACAAATGCAAACATTACATTAACGAATCACAACAAACCTAGCTTGGCCATATTCCAAATGGAAATGGATCCTCCAAATCTTGCCAATATGAACAGAGCCACAACCAACTGCAATATTATAAATTAATATATATCAAAGACATACATATGAGCAGTTGTACGAATGCCTACATGATATGACTTTTCTACCTTTTTTTCATTTATTTATTGTTTAGTTTTGTTGTGTTGGGTTGTAAAAATGCAAGTCTTCGAAGTCCTAGAGTGTCATTTTGCTTATATTTTGTACTTTTGGTTATTGATATTGAATGTTCTTGAGAGAGTGTTTTTTCAATTCCATTTGCTATTACGTAGTAATTTAGTTGTACAAAATATATTGATATGGATATCATTTTGTAGATCGTAACATTTTCTCTAATACAATAACTTAGTTACAATATTCTAATGCTACGATATATAAAAAAATGCATATGAAAGTAATGCATGGGTTTTTGAATTTGTTGGACGGCTAATCTTACAAAAATAGAAGAGATCCGATTTTGGGCAGTCTCAAATGGTAATCGACCAGTCTCTCAAATTCAAAATATAAATTAAAAAATTTAAAAATCATTACTGTTGATGCAATTTTTCAAATATAATTTTATATAATGAGATAATAATTAAAGACGTCAAATTTTTCACAATCAAATTTATTTAAATTATTCTATCTTATTTTCTCCATCTATGATCTATCTAATATATAAATATGTATACAACTTTTGATGATTGAGATTTATCAGCACATGAACCATTGTTTATATAAAATAAATGATCTTTTTAATCATCTCAAAGTATGCTCTAAATCTTATATGAATATACCCATTGAATTACATATAAATGGTCAATTAATTGAAATTTTTGAGTACATTTATTTGGTGATTTTATTTTTGTTACGTATGAAATTTAGAATTAGGTTAAAAAGCCCAAGGTGAAAGAAAAATGGGCCTGGCAATAGAGTTGATTGAACTGGCTGAAGGACACCGTGGGGAACTCAAGGAAAATAGGTTTATTTCTAAGGAAAATAGGTTTATTTCTAAGGAAAATACAGGACGGAAAGACCTCAGGTCGGAAGGTCCCCAGGTCGGGAGGTCCTCAAGACGGAAAGTCATCAGGACGGGAAGTCTGTAGGTCGGGAGGTCCTCAGGACGGAAAGTCCTCAGGTCGGACAGGTCGGGAGGTCCTCAGGTCCGAACTCTGCGGCGGGACCAACAAGTCGGATGGTCTGTTAGTCGGACGGAAAGACCTCAGGTCGGAAGGTCCCCAGGTCGGGAGGTCCTCAAGACGGAAAGTCATCAGGACGGGAAGTCTGCAGGTCGGGAGGTCCTCAGGTCGGAAAGTCCGCAGGTCGAAAAGTCCTCAGGACGGAAAGTCCTCAGGTCGGACAGGTCGGGAGGTCCTCAGGTCGGAACTCTGCGGCAGGACCAACAAGTCGGATGGTCTGTTAGTCGGGAGGTCTGTAGCTGAACTAAACAAGTCAGATGGTTTGCAAGTCGGGAGGATTGGCAGTCGGACCAATACGGTTGTAGAGTGGCAGTCGGGCCAAAAGGGCGGAAGGTCTGTGGTCGGCTCAAAGAGTGAAATATAGTGACAACTTTGGTCCGCTGAGGACACGTGTCAGCAGGAGAAGGGTTGGAAGACGGTTGGAAAGGAGACGTTGTAACCGTTCGGGCGACGGTTTTCAGTACAGTTTCCTAGGGAATATTTAAGGGTTTGGATCATCATTTGGCAAGGTATCTTCAATCAACTTCAACAAAGCAAAGTCAGATTTGGGGATCACCACTTTAAATTTCAGTCTTTTATTTTCCAGTTTATTTTCTGTACCATACAGTGTTTAGAGATTCCTAATCTCAGGCACTAATTAATCAAGTTTAAGGATATTTTCTATATCTTTGAATTTTACTTTATTTTTGTTGAAAAATTACATCAACAATTTTATTTATTTTAGTGGGTTGGATTTTATATTTTATAAAATGAAATAATATATTTTATATATTAAAAAAAATAAAAAAAGAATATTCTAAAAAAAACAAATTCATAAAAATCTATAAAATAGTACCATACAAATTCTCAATAAATCCTAAAAAAAATTACATTTATAACACACACCTATTTCATAACAATAACTAACAATTTCTAATTCTTATATGTGTAAAATAACACATCTAATCAGATTAAACTAACCCCAAGAAAAAAAAATTAAAAATTTAAAATTGTAATTTTCACATAAATATTCACACAAATATTTTCAACCAAATTGAAATATTGTTATGTACATTCTCATTGATCCAACAATGTACAACCAACACTTATATTATGTAGATTTTGAGAAGAAAGACCGTTGATAACATTTGAATGCAACGAATAATACGAACAATGTCCTAATTGAACAATGGTGGAGCATACATTCCAAATAACACTCAATGCCAAGACTCCAATGGCTTTCTTGTGACGACATGACTTCCAAACATCTACGATTTTTTTGACCCAATATATACCTTACAAATAAATTGAAATAAACAAAAATTATACATCGTCGTCTTCACTGTATCTATATTACTTTTTTTCTATCCTTAACCAATATATCAAATTCTTAATTTAGTTGATATAGTCTTCCCACAAAAATAAAATATACCTACGCTTCACTAAAATTACTAATATGATACTATTTCATTTTACGATATATACTACTTTATAGGACATTTAGTAAATATACTCTTATATGAATAGGAGTATAAGTTTGTTTGCTTTTGATTTGAAATTGTATATTTGATTTGAGTTTTAATTTAGATAGTACTCCCTCCCCCGTCATTCAAATCTATTCTCACTTTTCTTTTTTGGTTGTCATCCAAATTTATTCCCGTTTCCTTTTTTTAGTAAAAAAAAAATACTTTTCTTTACAAAAAAAAAAATAAAAATTTCTATTATTATATATATTTTTTTAAAATCCGTGCCCGATTAAACGAACACACAATTGGATGACGGGAGGAGTATTATGCTGTAATATTTTATAAAAATAAATAAATTACATAAAACCGTGTGAGTGAATAGTAATATTGATTTAAGTTTGAAACCCAAACCAAACCCAACACATTTTTGTTAGCAACGTTTTGTTGTGTGTATATATATATATATATAACAAATAAAATAAAGTTGGTATGTGTATATTTAAGGCCCATAATAAATAAACCCAAAAATAATTTAAGCCCAATATTAATTTACCTTTGATATTGGGGTGTGCCTGGTTTTCATTTTGTTTTTGAACTCTATAATTTACAATGAAATAAATATATATATTCTTTATTTAATATTATCCCAGTGATCATATAAAAATACGAATGAGAGATAATTAAGGATTTTAAAATGGAGTGACTATTTTTTCTTTTAAAAGATTGTTTTTTTGTACACGTGTTTTCTTTTATTATTGCTACTATTAATTTTTAAAACGTATTATATCAAACAAAGTATTTTTAATTTGATTATATAAATATATATTTTTTTAAAAACATAATAAATAAAAATACAAGTAAAAGACTAAAAAAATAGAAAGGGTAAATTAGAAGTATTACCGAATGAAATAAAGTGAGGCGAGTAGACTGAGTAGGCTTTTGGCACTGTACATATTCCAACAAATCCTGCCAACATTAATAGGCCATGTTTATACAATACACTTTCACTTATTCGATACTATTAATTTTTAAAAAAGTATCATATCAAATAGACTATTTTTTCTCACAAAACATCAAATCAAATACTAATTTTTTATTTTTTTCAAACTTCCAAATTTCGAAAAACCTCCAAAAACTTCTTATATAAACAATCACCATATAGCGACAACTCTTGAATTTGTTAAATTTTTTTTATATTAAATATAAAACATTATATCGTTAATATAAAAATTAATAATTTTTAATAAAATATATACTCCCTCCGTGCAGCTAAAAAGTACACATGTTTCTATTTTGGAATGTCCAATTACAAAGTAAACATTTCATTAAATACCTCATTTTTTTCTACAAATACCTTAATTTTACATCACATCATTACTTTTATACTAAAAAGCAAAGACAAAAATGTCATTACACTATTTTTTACTACCTATTATAATTAAAATATTATTATTTCTTAAACACCGCGCCAAAAGTAAATGTATACTGTCCGGAGGAAGGGAGTATTATATACTATATTAATATAAATATATGCCACAAAAAAATATTGGATAAATGAGCCTTCTATTTATGTAAAAGTTAGTATCAAATTAGTTATTCGGACGTCTCTTTGAAGTGCGTATAATCCAAGAAGCTTACGTGTCACTTTCAATAAAATGAATACAACTATATTCACGAGAATATTGTGTCTTATTTAATTGACACCTAAGTTTTTATGTGTGTTCACTACTTGTGATATCTTCATCATGATTTTATTATTATTATTTTTTTAAGCAAATAACAAATGAAATAATATTTATTATATTATATCAAAAATTATTTTTATATTCAAAATATCAAATTAAATAATTATTTTTAATTCAAAATTTTATATCAATAATTTTTTTTTTCTCTAAAATTGCATCTATAAATTGTAGCTCCGGTTACTTGCGCTTATAAATTATTTCGTCCCTACTGACATTTTTAAATAATTATTTTCTATAAAATATTATATTGAATATTTAATTTTTTTTTATTATTTTATAAGTGTTTAAAATTTCAAAATCTCCAAAAATCATATATAAACATATTCAAAAAAGAGAGAACAAGGGTAGGGCAGCAAATTAGCTTGGCCATATTCCAAATGAAAATGGATCCTCCAAATCTTGCCAATGTGAACAGAGCCACAACCAACTACAATACTATAAATTAATATATATCAAAGACATACATATGAGCAGTTGTACGAATGCCTACATGATATGACTTTTCTACCCTTTTTTTCATTTATTTATTGTTTAGCTTTGTTGTGTTGGGTTGTAAAAATGCAAGTCTTCGAAGTCCTAAAGTGTCATTTTGCTTATATTTTATACTTTTGATTATTGATATTGGATGTTCTTGAGAGTTTGTTTTTTCAATTCCATTTGCTATTTTGTAGTAATTTAGTTGTACAAAATATATTGATATGGATATCATTTTGTAGATCGTAACCTTTTCTCTAATACAATAATTTAGTTACAATATTCTAATGCTACGATATATA